GTGACACATAATATCAGCACGGTGGGGGCTTAACCAATCCATGCCGATTATCACATCAAAACTCCTAATATTTACTGGCATCAAATCTATTTGAAATGAATGGTCGTTTAGTGTTAATGTGCACCCTACGTAAACATCTTTGGTTGTTTCTGTTTTCCCATTAGCAATCTCCACCGTGAAGGCTTCGTTTAGCTTCTGGGGTTGTTGTTTTAGTAAGTGTTGTTAAGTGGGAACGTATCAGTGACAACTGTCGGGTCTTGAACTGCTTCACATTGACCCAACGTCAGGACCCTTCCTGATCCTCCTGCCCCCTGGTTGTTGGCCTTGGGGCAATCGCGTCTGAAATGACCGGTTCCTCCACATCCATAACACGTGTGACTAGCCCCAACGTTATTGTTGTTGTTATTGTTGTTGCGGTTGTTGTTGTTGTTGTTGTTGTTGTTGTTGTTGTGGTTTGGCTGTTGGTTTGGTTGGGGCTGAGATCTGCAGTATCGTGCGGTATGGCCCTTACGGTTGCACTTGAACATTTTATATCTATGCATTCTCCATAGTGGTGAAAACCACATTTGTTACACTTGGGCAAGGTTCCCCGAGTATTGCCTGGTAGTAGTTTGCGTAGTTGAGGCTGGAGCATGTGGTGTTGAGGCAACCTGAGTAGTAGCAGCATGGACTGCTACAGTTTGTTGCTTTTTCGATGACTCGTGGTTTTGTCGCCCTTTTCGCTTGTTGTCCTAACTGTAGTGATGGTAAGTGAAAACTGATCCTAGTAGCGGTGGGGAGGGTCTGGTGGAGAAATCACATGCCAAAATGTCGTGCCACGAGGCCAGCCATCTCGCTCATCTCCCTAGTGACCTCATCCCTCTCATGCTCTGCTTGCACGGCTCGGGCTTCTGCTGCTAATAGTTGTTGCCGAAGGGTGGAAACCTCCTCCTCTAATGAGCGAGTCCGATCGATGGGATCCCTCGGTGCTGTGGGGTGGTCCTACCTTACCTCTGAAGTGGGAGGCTCGCTGGGGACTTCATTAGTGTCCCCATCTTCCCCCATATCCTCGTCAGGTTCCCCGAACTCATAGTCGGTCTCCACGTATTCCTCGGGTCGTACACCTGGATCTGCCTCCTGACCCATAACAGGTTCTCCTTCAATCAACCCATTGGCCACTAGGGCCTGATAGTAAAGAATACCTTGTTGGAATTCTTCCATGGCGACTGCGCGAGAAACTGAGGGGTGAGAAGCGTGTAAGGAGAGTGTACGTAGATAATATTTCAATTATTCCTATAGTATTTTAATTGCTTAGGTTTGAGTTCCTTAGAGGTTTTTGGGTACGAGGTAAGTTTCTAGATTCATTTACCAACATGATCACTCCCAGACACATGTTGGTCGTATTTGGAATAAATATAGCTGATCAGGCTATTTTTACCCCCAACACGACTACATAACTGTCCGGGTTTAACCATGGTGTTCAATTTCCTCCAGAGACTTTTAGGGTTATTGTATTAATGCACACTTAGGTATGTATTTTATTCAAAGTGTTTTAGTCCCATTGTATTTATAGTTACATATCTTGTATGATTAGATATGTCAGTTCACTATAAACAATGTTCTGATACCAATCTGTCACACCCCCGAACCAGACGGCGGAAACGTCCGGAGGCTTGGGTGACTTCATTCTTGTAGTATCATCACAGAGTATATAATTGAAACATAACATCATCATCATCACACATGTAATATTACAACTGTCTTTGGTTTACATCAATAATTGTATTTCAATATTACATGCCAAAATATTTGAAGTATGATGAAAACAAAACATAAGAAAATATCCATGTAATCTTGCTGACCAACCTGCTCAACGGTTTCCTGAGAATACAAGTTAATTTAAAAAGGTCAACATAAAAATGTTGGTGAGTTCATAAGCATGTTTGAGTAAAATGTTTTGTATTACTTTGTAAACACCAGAAAATCCGATATTTTCTGAAAAACAGTTTGATATGTTTGTGTCCGATCTTGTATTAATGCATGTGTGTTAATGTTTGTGAGAGTATAAAGAGAATGACCCCAGACAATCTGATGTTGTCTGCCTATGACAATGCTGGAATCTCAACACCCGAGGTTGAGTACTAGCGCGAGTATTTTGCCGTGTTATCAATCAAAAAGATGGTTTCCCGTAAATTTTATAACGTTAATTCCTCTAAGTGAGTCGCTATAACCATACTAGATAATGACAATTTCGCTTGTCATGGTGTTTTTCGGACGCCGACGGAATAAGGTAAGGTTTTTGTCACCCTAGACTGGCCTAGTCTAACTGTAGCGAACTGCTCAGGTGTGGGGTGTCACCCCCGTATAGATCTATACACAAACTCTCGCTCTCCCTCCAGGAGACTCTGGTTATAACTACAGGCTACGATTGTACACTCAATAGGTGTCAACCGACACGTCTCACTAGATCCTTAATCGAATTTACGCGAAAAAGAAAAACATATAAGGTATATTCCAGGCCCAATAAACAAGTAAGTGGACAACTAAGGCCCACTAAACATTTAAATTATTTCCAAACTCAAAGGAATGAGAGTATATATATCCCAGCCCAATATACATATAAAAGGACAACTAAGGCCCATTTAACATGTATATTATATCCAGGCCTAATAAGGACATGAATACTGAAATCGATCTGTGGTTTGTTACGTTCGTCGTTTAAGCTATGATGTTTACCAAAGTGACATAAAAAGCTCACCTTTTTGTAAAAGGTCATTTTTGGTCCTAAAAACCGAAATTTACAATTGTGGCACATTTTTGGTAAAAATGACAATTTAGGTCCTTTAAGGACAAAATTTGCATTTGAGGCTAGTTTTAAGTAGAAATAACATTTTTAACTCACTTTTGTCAAAAATATCATTTTTGGCTTGATTTTTAGGAAACTGTGCATTCTTGGCCCATTTATAAATAATTTTATCTTTTTGGCCCAAGTTCTAACAAATTCACATTTTTAGTTCTTCTTATAAAAATTTACATTTTTGGCACAACTTTGTTGAAAATGACACTTAAGCCCATAAAAGTCCAAAAATTTACAATTTTGGCCCAAAAGCCGTGAAAAGCCCAAATAAGGCCCATTTGTGAAAATTTTACACTTTTAGCCCCTTTTAGGATCACAAATACCATAAATATTCATATTTATCAAAAATAATCCTTTTTGGTCCCTTAAAAACTGTGAGTTACATAAAAATACCCCATTTTTGGTTATTTCATCACTTTTGGCCCTCTTATGCAATTTTCTTAGTTTTAAGTAACTTTGATGTATTTTAAAACCTTTTCTTTACATAATAAGTTGAAATAAGTCTTATGTTCTACAAATATCATCACATTTTAGTAGATCTTTAAGTTCATGGAGTTTATAACACATAATCACACATATATCATGAAAAACACACAAAATCATGCATACACACATAGATCTACACAAAAAAACTTGTATTCTCCCCCAAAACATTATAAAAACCGAAAAATAGGGGGTATGAACTCACCTTGCTTTGGAGATTTCAGTTTTTGATGAAGAAAATGAAGAGATCTTGGCCCTTAGCTAGCTTTCTTGAGTAGATCTTGAACCTAAGGTGGATCTAGAGCATGGATTACAAGATGATGTGGGTTAAGAAGGGATTCCTAGAGTAACTTGAATCAAAAGTTATAGAGTTTCACAATAACTTACCAAGGATGAATGAGCTTTGATGGAGAGTCCTTGATGTCCCTAAAAGCTCACGAAAATTTGGAGGATGGAGGAGAGGAGTTCTTGGAGGGATGTAGTAGCTAGAATTGAAAGTGAAGGTGGTGGTGGGAGACCCTTGGCCGAGAGATAGATAAGAGGGAGAGAAGAGAGAAGTTTGATGTGATAGTGCATAGAAACATGAGATTAGCATGGAGATTTGTTGGATAATTGTATGGAAATCCACCTTGCAAAACTTAGGTGGCACCTCTAATTATCCCATTGTTTTTTTTTGTCTAGCCGAGAATGGGGAAAGGAAAAGAAAAGGGAAAAAGTTTGGGTCATGCTTGCTTATACTCAATATTATGAGGCCCAGGTTGAGAATTTCGGCCCATTGGGCCCTTATGAGGGTTACGGCCCAATAGAGATAAGAAAAAAGGGTTTACGGCCCAATGAGGCCCAAGAAGATAGTTTACGACCCAAAAGGGCTTATGAAACCATTTACGGCCCATTAAGGCCCATGATGACTAAGTGAGACATTTGAGGGCCCATAAGGCCCATGAGACGTCTTATGGCCCAAAATGCTATTATTTAATGATTATGGGTCCAATTAGGGCCCATATAAGGATTCTTGACCCAAAATACTCAAATCGAGAGTTTATTGGCCCATTTGGCCCAATAAACGACTCCTGGTCCATCTTGGGTTTGAATCGGGATATTAGGGTTTCAAGCTCAAATTTGAGTATATGAGATGCATTGAATTAGACTTTGAACTTCACTCATGAGTTTTGATTCAAATGGTTGATTTTGAATGAGCATAGTACATGACATCAACTTAGATTACAAGTTATACAAGAGTTGATTACATGAATACAGAATTTCCTAGCCAAAAATGCTAGTTGTGACAATTTAACATTTTTATAGTACTATATATATTCATTACTAATTTATCGATTAACTAATACCCACTCCTCGAATCATCTTCGTGCATCTATAATACATAGTGTAATGAAAGAGTTGAATGGGATGAATTGACTAGTTTGAATTCAATCATTAAACAGAACCATAATGGGATGACACCTTGTAGTTGAATGGATTTTAATGGGAAAAAAAAAATTTAATCCTTAAATAAATGTCATAAATTAGGTTTTTGTAGTAAATGATTTTTTTATATGTTTAATTTTATTTTGTAAAATTCAATGTATTATAAGAAAATAAAAACAAGATTTGTATGAAAAATAGAAGGATCTATAAAATTTAAAGGATTATGGATGCACTTATATCAATACCCAAAAGAACCCCAAACAATCAAATTCACGTTTTCATTGTAGATTTGCATACATAAAAAATGGTATAATTCCGTGTACACTTATACAACCATATAGACTCGAACCCAATACGATGGATCATTCAACCCAATAATGAAACCATATATCCATCTAGTGAAGTGGAGAATTAAGACCCTCCTGAGATGAAAGAGAATGAGCAGGTTGGTGTCTCTTTGAAGGAAATGGTGAAGTTTTCCTGAAAGATGGCCTTTTCTTTAGATGATGTAGGGTTCTTCTGGTGTAAATCTCTCGAACCACTGGTTTCGCTTGTTCCTTCAACTTGAGTATAACGAAGAATAATAGTCGGTAAGAGATTATTATGGCCCCAACCGCTGCTAAGTCCCACCACTTCGAGTGGTCGAGTGAGATCCCAAGCACCGTGGTAAGAATAAACTCGCCTGGAAGCTTTGGTTCACCTTCATATTCAGAATCAAATTCCAGTCCGATCATGTCGTTCTTGTATGCTCCCTAAGAAAAACGCATTTTTTTGAAGAAGCATTCATGTGGATTTAACTCTTTAAGCATTCTTGAAAGACATCCATGGAGTTTTAAAGTGTTACCTGTAACGCCCATGACATATAATTGATATACGAAACTGGGTATCGCCAGAAGACCTTCGGGAGTTCAGGGAGGAGACGAAAGAATCCGGCAGTCATCATCATAACACCCTGCAAATAAATCAAGATTGTATGTATTATTGGATCATATTCACGTCAGACCAGAATATAGACAAGGATCTATATATTAACATTTTATATTTTTATTGGTGAATTCAAGAAGCTCGATTGCCAATGAATCTTACAATGAAACCTGCACCGATGATGATTCCCATCATGAAGTTTGGAACAACCGCAGCAATGACCATCATACAACTCTCAACGGCAGCAATCGATAACAAAAGATCAAGGCAAGCGTACAATTGGTGGATGAACCCCGGATGAAATTTCACCATGTTATAAGTAATCAGTGCAGTACTGAACGACATGAATGCCAAGAATGGGAGTGATGATATGAAGTTCGAAAGAATGAACACACCAACGCCATAGTGCCCATTGAGCCTTTCTCGATGGAAAATCTGCATGGAAACAAATCGATCGTTTAAACGTTACAATCTATCAAAGTCATCAATCCATACGTTATACTTGCCTTCATTTCTTCAATGAACGAAGGGAAGCCTCCAATTGACATGAAGATCATAAAACCAGATATGAATCCGCCACAAGCTCCACGTGCTAACATAGCGTGGTAATTCGTTCCAATATCATAAAAGACAGTCCCGACGCAGAGAGATACAGCGATGTACACCCCTATCCTCAACCAGTAGTACCCAACATCTCTACACATGTTTATAAATGATCTCGTTGTTAATGTTGTTAGCTGCTTCCACCAACTGGCCTTGCTCCCGCCCATTCTGTCAACCACAAGTCCTTTCTACGAACAGTTTTAAAACGATCGATCAACATACTTATATACTGATATATATAGCAGATAAAGAGTAAACATAATATTACAATGGTTGAGATTTCTTTGATTCTGGTTCTTGCATCTGCTGCATATTTCGAAGATTTGAATTTGTGAACAAGCATGCCTTTGATATGAGCTGTTGTTGAACAAGATAAGATAGTGTCGCATATGCCTTTGGTGTCCTGCATTACATAGAACGACGATTTAGTTAATTAGAATTTGTAGTTTGTGTGCATAATTAAGTGAAAAACTTTGTACCCATTGTCTTTGAGAACCCTGTAATGTAGCGTTGATCCTATCGAAATCTGAGTTGATACAACGAAGGAAGTGATCGGAAGGGTTTCTTCGACTTGGACATGGTATTCCAGCATCAGAAAAAAACTAAAATCCCATCATTAAGTAAAACCAGAACATGGTAAAGATATAAAAAGAGTGTAGTCAAGATACCTCTATGGCCAATTTGGCTTCACCAAAGAACACGGTTTCGCCTCCGGACAACAAAAACAGATCATCAAAGAGTGCAAATACTTCACTGCTCGGTTGGTGGATCGAAGAGACGACTGTTCGCCGGCCATCTCGAGCCACGCTTCTGAGAGCTTGAACCACGAAGAAGGCGGAGGCGCTGTCGAGGCCACTGGTGGGTTCATCAAGAAACAAGAGGGTTGGTTTGGTGAGAATTTCGAGGGCGATACTGAGTCTTTTCTTCTCACCACCACTTATGCCTCTTAAATGCCAGTTCCCGATGAGTTTATCTGTACAATCTTGAAGACCCATCTCGATTATAGTTCCTTCAACAATGTCATTGAGTTGAGATTTGGTTAAGTCTCCTGGTAGTCTGAGTTTTGCCGAGTATGTGATGGTTTCTTTCACGGTGAGTGTTCCGAGTAGTATGTCTTCTTGGGTCACATAAGCCTGAGTTCAAAATATTAGCTAAAAAGTTTGATATTTTAAATAAAAAATTCACTCAAATAATGTGTCACGTTGATCACCGTAGATGGGTGGGAAATCGGTGATTCGGGTAATGGACAATCGTGGTTTGGGGTTGGTCCATTAAGTTGTCAACGAATTCTTATCATTATATTTTAATTTCATAAGTGATACTATCAAAATTATTCTCCACAGACAAAAAAAACACACAGATTAAGGAAACATTAATTACCATTAATTTTATATAATAAAATAACAGTTTTGTCCTTACTTTGCATTTAATGTTCCATTAAATGCTTAGTTGGTTAAGTAATAATGATCAGTATTTTGGTAAAAGTGTTATTTATTTTTAGAAGTGGACTATTATTTTGGGACAAACCAAAAAGGAAAGATGGACTATAATTTTGGGACGGAGGGAGTATATAAATGCAATGTTTTAAAAACCGGTATTTTAGTTGAACCGGTATGGTGACCGGTTCGACCGTCGGGTCAACCGGTTTAACCGGTTTCTATAATTTTCATCTTTTTTTTTCTATTTTCCTATACATACATACATATATAAATCATGAATTGACGTTTACAAGTTTAAACACTAAAAATATACATAAAAATAAGTTGTAGATCAATCCAAATACATTAAAATAAAACATAACCATAAGTTTTAGTGTTTTACATCAATCCATATACGTCAAAAAGAAAATAAAGTATAATACCGAAATAAAATATAGCTTTAGATGAATACATACACATCAAAAAACTTTATAACATTTGTCATAGGTTTTTATTTAGAAAAAACTAAACAGATTTGAAAAAAATCACCAAAGTTTATTATCCAAATTGTTCTTTTCCATATGTTTTTATTCAGTTTAACCGGTTTATTTTGACCGGTTCGAACGGGTTTTTCTAAAAACCGGCCGGTTCAATCCGGTTCAGAAATAGACATAAAATCGGTGATAGTTGAACCGCTCCCTCTCCCGGTTCCCGGTTCGACCGACCGGTTCAAACTGGTTTTTAAAACATTGTATAAATGTATCTAATAATAGAGTAAATTACAGTTTTGGTCACTCTGTTTACACGCTTCTGAGGTTTTAGTCCAACTTTTTGATTTTGACATGGCTCGTCTATTCAAAGTTGCACATGCAGTCGCTGTCTCCTTTTTGTTTAAGTTAAGTTCAGAGAATCAGCAATTTAGGGTCTCCGATTAATCCGTTAACATCGGTCCACCGATTAGCTAACGTCAAACGTTTTTTACAACCTTAGATTGTGTATATGAAAGATAGAGAAATTAGTTTTTTAAAAGATAAATAGATTGGGTTGGGTTGCTAATGAGGATACTCTAAAGAAGGTCAACGTATTCACTATTAATCCCATTCGAGCACATTTTTGCCTCTCCCACTTTTGACATCTCCATAGCTGGCATCTTTGACACCTCGACGATCATCAAGACCAACACTTCATGTAACTCCAACGTTTCTGGCGCCACCGTGGAACCCACACCTCATTCTTTCTCGCCTACAAATATGGAAATAGCCATATGTTCCTCCCATGTGTTGTTTCCTATGGCCTTGTTGCACATGCCCCTTCCTCCTATTTACTTCCTTTTTTGATTTAGGGTTTGAGATTAGCTTTTTGGGATCGGTTTTTGTTGGAAGGATGGGTTGTGATTTTAAGATTTTTTATTCTCGGTGAAAGGATAGGGTGTGGGAGAGTTTTATTGGGTTGGTTTTTCTAGTTAGTCTTTCTCGATGAAGATTGTCGGTGGCAGGCGAGTAGTGATGGTAGGGTTAGCGGTGATTGGTGGTGGTGTGTAGATGTGTTTTTTTGTTTGGTTTTCTGGTAGCAACAATGGTAATGTGGTGATAGTGTCAATGGCAATGATGTTAGTTGGGATTGGTATTTAGAGGTATGGTGGTTGGTTTTCTAACGGTAAGTGGGTAGTGATGGCTAGGTGTAGTGGTGGTGGTGGTATTAATGAAGTTAAAGGTGGTGGTGGTGATTGGTAGGTTTTTTATTTAAAAAATTGATCTAAAAATGAGGGGGAAAATAAGAAAAAGACAAATAGAAGGACAATTTTGTCATTTAACAGGAGCAAATGGATGTACAATAATCAAAACTATAATTTACTCTTAATATTATAAGAAAAAGTTTCAAAAATCAATTGCTTTCCAAAAAGTGGCAATGCGGATAACTTTTAGAAACTTTTCAAAGTTGTCCATGTGATTTTAAAAAATGGCATGGTAGTTTTTTTTTTCACTTTCCATCTAATTGTGCCCATTTTCTCCCCCAAAATGTGCACTTCTCATAGGACAATATTATCTTTTTAACTTTGTATAATTTATTCTTATTATCAAAACATATAATAAAAAGCAAAACTAAACAAAAATCTAAATCTTATATAGATTTCTCATCTGCGATTTCTTATTGGTGCCTCCCCACCCTTTTCATTGAACTTCTTTATCAAATAACCATTTACCAGTGCACCACCTTCCCTTCTTACCAACTCGACCCTTAGTTAACCCGAACTGAAAATATGATCGTATTTAGATAGTTTGTATCATTTAATAGTGCAATATGAGGCGAACATCTTATATTCAAAAAAACCATAACGAAGGAAATTTAACCTAATAAATGTGAGCAATCCCATTTCCAAAACAAATTGCCAATATACATGTTTCAAGTTCATGGGTTTTAACAGAGTTGTTTTGCATGTCAAGATTTAGGGATTGTAAAAGATTCATTTTTTTGTTGATTTCACAATCTGAAGGATATGTGGTTCTTAAGTCGGGTGATTTTGTCTCCATAAACAAAAGGTTACCATGAATTACCATCATTCCATTGATACCCATAACATTAATCTTGTTTCTATTACTTGGTATGTGTTTTGTCCTTGAAGACAAGCTTGTCTCTAAATTCAACTTAGTTCTGAACGGTTTCAAATAACTTTCCACCATCCACATGCTCGGTTTCGTTTCTCTATACAAGGTAAGATACTACATGAACGGAGACTGTGAAGGTCTTGCAAGATAAGAACAAATAGGAAGGGGTGAATTTAAAAGGGAAGGAAAAAAGGTTTACTTATGCCAAGAAACTAAAATTTGAACGTTGAAGGGATGATTAATGGCAAGTCTGTTGTGATATAGGGGCATAATATTTCTTTTTTGATTTTTGAAGATGGATTCTCAATTTTGAAGTTATAGGTTCGTTGAAATATGGAGAAACATATATATATATATATATATATATATATATATATATATATATATATATATATATATATATATATATATATATGTATTGTTATTCATCTTCTTGGTAAATTTTAGTAAATTACACTAACTTAAAAATACAATATTTTCCTCATGCAAAGTGCACGTGCAGGGAGAATACGGTCATAATTAGACTACAAGTAAAAAAAAAGGCACCATCCATGCCATTTTTAAACCACAAGGGCAACTTTGAAGTGTTTCTGAAAGTTATCCTTACTTGCCACTTTTTGGAAAACATGGGGGACGATTTCTGAAATTTTGTCTTGTAAGAATGTAGTATATCACCTTCTTAGACATCAAAATGTGATGGTTCACTGTATTGCTATAACATATTGGGTTTATTACAAACAATATGTCCCTCATGGCGTGGGGAGAAAACGCTCATAATTAGACTGAAAGTAAACAAAAGGTACCATCTATGGCCTTTTTTAAAAACAACAGGGGCAACTTTGAAGTGTTTCTAAAAGTTATCCTCCCATTGCCACTTTTTGGAAAGCATGAGGACCATTTGTAAAGCTTTGTCTTATAAGAATTTGGTATATGACATTCTTAAACATTAAATATGATGGTTTACTCTATTCCTATGAGATATTGGGTTTATTACATACACATATAAAAAAAATTGTCCATTTGAGATTACAAATTTATCACTACTTATAGTATTATCATTATACTTTTCTTTTTAGGGCATCCACGATACATTGAACTCCATAGAGTTCAATGGATTGCCACATCATCTTTCTAAAATCAATAAAACTATATCATTTTTTTTTTCCTACAATGCATTGAACTCTACAAAATTCAATAGAATGTTACAAAATGTAATTTATAGTAAATATTTAAGAATTAAAACTTTCATTTTTCCCATTGAAGAGTCCAATGGTCATTGAACTCCAAATCCATTGAATGCCAAGGTGACATCTGACAATGGTAGAGTTTCATGCATTGAATGACACATAGATTTGCCACCTCATTCAACTCTTCCATTGAACTCACCATTATGCATGCTCTTAAGAGGGTTAAATTTAACGGTTAAATGCACAAATGACATCTTAGCTTTCATTTAATATCTAGTTTATTCATGGTAGTTTGACAATCAACAATAAAATACTTACATTGTACCAATCTTAAGTCTTGTTCCCTGGAATGAAACTTTTTCCAAATTCAAGACTTTTTTTATTGATTTCAGAATTCAATCATCTGATTAGAATTTTGAAAAAAAAATTGATTATATCTTTCAAAAATTATTGAAGGTCACGACTCAATTTAATTACTTTTATTTTATTTTTTATCTTATTTGGAAACAACCAATATCATTAAAAAGGTCGACAATTGACTAAATCGCAACCAAAATACAATATAGGAAAAGAAAAGGAGAAACATATTACAAATCAAGACAAGATTAGGGAATAAAACTAAATGAGTAAAAGGCGAGCAGATCCACTCAGCCCAGCCACCACATCTATTTTGACTCATGTATTTGCATCATGAATATGAATTAGAGATAATGACACTGCTACCTTTGTGGGAGATGCATGCATATTCTTGAAGTTTTTCTCATTCTTGGCAACCCATATATTCCAGAGTATACAATACAATATTGTATTGCCAATCAATTCCTTTTTGTGACGGTTGGCCCAAATGTTACTAGAATTCATAAATTTCATAACACTTGAAAACCTTATAACCTCTATTCCACACCAATTAAAAATCCAATAATGTACGGTCTGTGCAAACTCACAGTGGAGAAAGATGTGGCTACTGATTCAGTACTATTATTGCAAAGTGAACACATCTGATTTGAATATGCATTCCTCTCATTAGTAAGGTATTTGCCACTGGAATTTTGTCCATCGAGGCATGCCATCCAAAACAATTTACCTTTAATGGGTTTATTTTGACCAACAAATCGTAAGGCCTTTAAATAGAATCAGTTTCAAATCGATAAGTCGCATCATACCGTTCACCTTATATACACCATATATTGTCATGTTGAAACGGAAACCATAAGTTGACGAGACACTGCTAATGTTTAGTTCACCTATGTCCCTATATAGTTGAAGTAGTTCATGTAATTCCATCGAGTTAGAGGGCTCATGTTTCTAGCACCAAGAGAAACCATTCGCGGGGATATAATCTTCAAGTGAACAGTATTTAACCGATTCAATCATGTAAAGATGAGGGAATTTTCTTGAAATGAGATTGTTCCACACCAAGCGTTGACCAACACGGGAGAACGCGAGGATGATAGACATCCCCTAATCTATTGCCTCCATTTGATTCCAAAATTCATTTAATTCATAACAGAGTCCAGATATTGTCAATTGACAGAATAAAAAGCTTTCTTGAAATCTACCTTGAATAGATAAATATTATTTTTTATTTTTCTTAGACCATGAGTAAATTTCATTCATGATCAAGGGTCCCTCAAGAATGCTTCACTCCTCAATGTACGCTGATTGCACTTCATCTACCACCGAACTGACCACTTCTCTTAGACGTACAACAAGAAGTTTAGCAATGATCTTGTACATACATCCGATTAGGCTGACAGATCGGTAATTCCCTAAGTTGAGTAGGTTTGATACTTTTGGAATTAAGGTGATGAATAAGGAATTACAACCGATGGTTATGGTCCAAGTTCTTTCAAAATGTTTTATGTATCTTATTATATCCCCTTCCATAAGATCCCGTATGGATTTGATGAGTTTGAAGGTAAAACCATCAGGACCCGATGCCTTGTCCCCCGCACAACACCAAAATGCTTATTTGATTTCTTTAATGCAGAAAGAAGACTCCAAGAACCTACTCTGATCTAGAGATAGTCACTTAAAGTTGGAACTAACGAACCTTGGCCTAATAGGCCAAACTTCATGAATTTTTGCAACGAAAAAACTTCTAACCTCTTTTTGATTTCTTTTGGATCTCACACCCAAACCCCATTGATTGTAAATCCATGAATTCTGTTTTTTTCTTTTGTGCTTATTTTTAATCATACTATGAAAGTAATTGGTATTTTCATCACCATATTGGATCCATTTGACCTTGGTTTTCTGTTGTAAATCAAGCTTAACAATTCTTTCAATCATAATCTTCAAGTGAATAGTATTTAACCGATTCAATAATCTTCAAGTGAACAGTATTTAACCGATTCAATCATGTAAAGATGAGGGAATTTTTCTTGAAATGGGATTGTTCCACACCAAGCGTTGACCAACACGGGAGAACGCGAGGATGATAGACATCCCTTAATCTATTGCCTCCATTTGATTCCAAAATTCATTTAATTCATAACAGAGTCCGGATATTGCCAATTGACGGAATTAAAAGATTTCTTGAAATCTACCTTGAATAGATAGATATTATTTTTTACTTTTCTTAGACCATGAGTAAATTTCATTCATGATCAAGGGTCCCTCAAGAATACTTCACCCCTCAATGTACGCTGATTGCACTTCATCTACCACCGAACTGACCACTTCTCTTAGACGTACAACAATAAGTTTAGCAATGATCTTGTACATACATCCAATTAGGCTGATAGATCAGTAATTCCCTAAGTTGAGTAGGTTTGATACTTTTGGAATTAAGGTGATGAATGAGGAATTACAATCGATGGTTATGGTCCAAGTTCTTTCAAAATGTTTTATGTATCTTATTATATCCCCTTCCATAAGATCTTGTATGGATTTGATGAGTTTGAAGGTAAAACCATCAGGACCCGATGCCTTGTCCCCTGCACAACACCAAAATGCTTATTTGATTTCTTCAATGCAGAAAGAAGACTCCAAGAACCTACTCTGATCAGAAGATAGTCACTTGAAGTTGGAACTAATGAACCTTGGCCTAATAGGCCAAACTTGATGAATTTTTGCAACGAAAAAACTTCTAACCTCTTTTTGATTTCTTTTGGATCTTACACCCAAACCCTGTTGATTGTAAATCCATGAATTCTGTTATTTCTTTTGTGCTTATTTTTAATCATACTATGGAAATAATTGGAATTTTCATCACCATCTTGGATTCATTTGACCTTGGTTTTCTGTTGTAAATCAAGCTTAACAATTCTTTCAAGTTCTGAATTTTTCACCTTATCGTTTCTCCGGGAAGATATTTCATAAACAGTAAGCTCCTTGGATTTGGATATTCTTTCCAGATTATCCACCTTGATCCTTAACTATGCAAGATTACCATTTTCTTTTAGACGTTCAGTTGTTATCTCATCACTTAGGATCTTATTGACATGCTTAAATTTAGCTAACATATATATGTTCGCCGATCCAAAGCCTTTCAACAATTCACATGCATTGTTGTATACTTTATTGAAGGTGGTTCTGGACAACCATGCGTTAAAGAAATGGAAGGGGGGGGGGGGGGAGTCCTGAAGTTAGCATTGAAAGCCCGCATTGAACGGGTCACACGGATCGAGGAAGTTAAATTTTTTCTATTAAACTGTATTTTAAGATATACTAAATTGGGTTCCCCGCCGTCCACTCAGGTTTCCTGCTTTTGCAAAGATATGGAGAGGGATTGCCCTTTGGATGATATTCTAAGACACCGAAGTACATTGTATTAGGGATTAGATTTAAAATTGGAAAACTAGACAAAAACCGGAACCATTAGAACTGGAATATGTAGAACCGGTCCGGGTTTAAAGAACTACTTTATCCGGGTTTCGGGTAATTCAGGTTTTGGGTCCTTCAGGTCCGGGTAGACCGGGTTTAAGAACTGGAACATGTGTTAGAAACTAGAACCAATTTCTATGGAAAGTTTAAAACATGCATATCACATTCGTTTCATGTCGGATTGGCATGAGTTTTTTCCGTAGCGTAGTTTAGAGTTTGTACATGAATTTAGATTATAATTTTGTCATTTTTGGTTTCATATGCATTGAGTTATATTCCCCCAAAGTCAAGATATCAAAGTTGGAAATTTTTTGTTTTTCAACTTTTTTTGTATTCTGTGAAAATTTTAAAACATGCATATTTAATTAATTTGAAATTGGACTAACATGTGGTTTTTTTCCAACGTGTAATTTACAGTTTGTACATGATTTTAAACTATAGTTATGTCATTTGGTTTCATACTCATTGACTTACAGTCCCCCAAAGTCGAGATATCAAAGTTGGAAACTTTCAGTTTTTTTTTTTTATTTTGTAAAAACTTTATACCATACACATCTAACTCGTTTAAAGTCTGATTAGTATGTGGGTTTTTCCAACATATAGCTTAGAGTTTTGTTTATAATTTTAGACTATAATTTTATTATTTTTGGTTTAATATTTAATGACTTACAGTCACCTGAAGTAGGGATATAAAAAACGGAAAATTTTCAAAGTTCAACCCACGAAGTAATTTCCAAAATATTATGGTTTTCACGGGTTTCTTGGTTCTAGACCCATTTTAATCGGTTCCAACCGACACACTTTGATGTTTTCAGGTTTTCCGGTTCTAAACCCACTTTAAACGGTACCATACTTAGAAACGAACCAGAATTGGTTCCTATATACTGGTCCGGTTTCTGATCCGGCAAAATCTCGTTAACCGGTTTTCAAATTTTCTAGGTCCGGGTCCATCCGAATCGGGCTTGGACCCAATTTCATCCCAAAGTCCTATACCCTCTCTTTGTTAACTCTTAGTTGAAACCTCCAATATTTGAACATTGAGTCCCATATAGGAGGTTAGTGCCTATTATGATACTAAGTAGTTGGTTAAGATATAATAAGTTGGTTTACCCAAAAGAAAGTTATTTTTTAATAATATTATACATAAGTTATATATAAACATTTGGTAAAAATATATTTTAAGTCAACTCCACCCAAACAAATGTTCATTCGTTAAGAAAAAAAAGAGAGATTTTGATAACTTACAATCGCCCCATAGTCGAGTCTCTTTTTTTTCCCATTCAAAAGAACGTTCCCGGTCATTATAACATTTCCAGCTAATCTTCCTGCATATAATTTAAATTTAAAATAAATCACAATATATATATATATATATATATATATATATATATATATATATATATATAATTAGGTTCATATATAATAAACTATAAGTATTGTGTGAGTGTGTGACTAAATGTGGACCAATCAATTGAAAATGATAAAATAGTAACTTCGATTATAATTAATTATGGTAAAATTCTAAATCAATTAATTGGCATAGTTTCATACCCTTATATCTACACCTCGAAGTTAAAGAAATTAGGGCATTCTTGTTGAAAAGGAACAATGTTAACCCAAGATACCTTCCATGACAGAGGATCAACTACTCTGATGATGACGAGAGAGATAGAAAAGCATAGGCTATTTGGCTTTTAAAAGTCATGCTTCAACGAACTAGGGTTCAAAGTATTATAAACTATTTCATTTGTTGGATGGAGAAAAAGGTTGATTGTTCATCGCCTAGCTCAAGCTTCCATCGAGGTTTAACTTCTCAATTTCTTAATTTCATCTTCAATTGTGTGACTTTCTTTGGTACCTATTTGTATCACAAAGCCTTGTGTTTGAACGATGTCCCCACCACCGTATGTCGCCCTTTCTATCTTGTCGACGACCATTCCTTCTCCTCATGATGTCGTAGCCCCTTGAAACAACACCTAAGTTGTCACTCCCTCTTCCCCGTTTTTTTGTTTTGACTGATACAGCGACCTGTAAATTGGTTTGTGGTGTTGGATCTTGAGTTTTTGTGCGTAGATTACAAACTTTTGAAGCGCATTTCAAGATTATTCAAACTCCTTTTATTGTTGGTGATCCTCTTTTTCCTTTTTTTCAAATCCTAGAGATGCCTTTGGTTTATTTTGTAGGTTTCTGGTATAAAAACTCTTGCCTCTCAACTGTTTCTGAAAATGCTTTGTACGTGTTCTTGCAATATGCATTAACATATGGTTTTGTGATTTTTATGGTATCATTAGGCTAGTTATTTATCTTTGAACTCTATAATTAACTTCATGCAGTTAAATAAATTAGTTTCACATAGAACTTTTATCAGTATTATAGCAGGAATGGTTTGAGTTTAAAGTTGTTTGTTGTTTGGTTTCTTTGAGTTGGGTTAAAACAAAAAAGCAACTGATGTTCATTAAATATTTTAGTGTGGTCCTAGTAATGAGTTTTTGGTTATAAGATTGAAATGGGTAAAGATGTTGGTTTGCTTATTCATCTAGAAGTGTGTTGGTAGACTAGACATAAGATGGTTGTGTCTTTGTCGTCCGTGACCGTTTATTGGTGGTATTATCTATTGTAACTTAACATGTTTTAATCTATAGTTCAAATATAGGCTTGAAATTTTGGATGAAGTTATGTTTTACCTTGTGTTTATAATTTGTACATGAATTGCAGGTGTGTTGTCTAACCTAGTGCATTAGTGCACCTTGTTGAAAATTCTAACAATGAGAATCAAGATGATGAAAAAAAAAGGGCGTGTGAAACCCTTTTTAAAGACATGACATTCTTCTTGAGTCATGACGTCAAAATAAAGTCAATGTTTGTCTGTGATTTAAACTTTTTTCCTAACTAAAAATATATAATCTTGTACCAAATGTTATAACTTTTCTCTTTTGTTGTTTGTTGGAGAAAAACGTTAGTTTTAATTGCGTGATTTGTATGTTTAGGTTCAAACATGAAGAGGTAAAGATAGAGACATGTGACAACCATAAGATAGATTCTTCAAGAATGCAGGCATATTCTTAAAGAACGTAGTATATATTATATATTTTTTGTATATTCTTCAAGCATGATGACAAATTCTTAAATAATGTAATATAACAAGTTTTGTATATTATTCAAAATTTTGTATATTTTTATTTTATGTTATAAAAATGGTTGTTTTATGTTATAAGAATGGTTCTTATTTTTTAATGTATATCATTGATTATATTGTAATACATTAGTCTTAAAGAATGACATGATATTGTCTAATATATAACGTGTATTCTTTAAATTATTACATAAAGTATCATATTCTCTAAGAACGAAAGAATAAAAAAATATATATTGAATGAAATCGTATTCTTTAAGAATATTAGAAGGAAAATATGTGTTCATGTGTGCTGAATGAAGTAGTATTCTTTAAGAATGAACTCACATTCTTCTTCATGACATTCTCTCGTCAGCCTTCTCTATTTATTGGAAGAATTCTTCGATTTTTCGATATGATTTGTATACTATCAATTCTTAGATATCCAAAGAATTAGAGTGATTTTGACAACCATATATTGTTTTTAATTCATGATAATTTTGTACTCCTTAATTATCTCAACTTCCTTAATGATAATTAATCAAAATGTCAGTTGTGCATTTATAAGTAATATTTTAATTTTTTTTATTAAAAGGAAATGTTTATTTGTATTGTGTTCCATTGTAACTATGGTATACCATATAATATTACCAATCTATAAATCTAATCTAATGGTCCGAAACTTATCATACTCACACAATATATACAATTCACATTTAATCTTATATATATATATATATATATATATATATATCTATATATATATATATATAGAAGAAAAAGTTCAATAAATAACTATTATTAATGGTTCTCTAAGAAACCAAATATTTTTTCAATTTTAGAGCTTATTTATTATCGAAAAAAAACTAAAAATATCTAAATTATGAATGCTAAAAAATAGATTATATATTTTTTGGATTCACCCGTGTGAATTCAAATTCAAATTGTGAATCTGCACATATTTATACTGTAAATTTGATGAAAAAAATTATTTTTTTTAGTGAATTTGATATAATTAGAAAAATGATAAAAAATTATGAATTTCTGTATTTTTAGGCTTTCTTTTTGATAAAAAAAATATGCTCTAAAAGTTGAAAAAAATTGGTTTATTGAAATATTAATAATTGTTCTCTATTAAACCTCATCATTAATATATATATATATATATATATATATATATATATATATATATATATATATATATATATATAGAGGAGAGAGAGAGAGAGAGAGAGTCAAGATCAAATAAGAAGGAAAATTTTGGTAGGCAGGTAAAAAAGTTTTTTTTTCTACATATTTTTTTAACGAACAAACAAAATGAATCATTAGATGATTTAAAAGTTAGATGATTCACAAGAAAAAATTTCCAAAAAAACATCTTCATAATTAATTTTTAAGTAAATTGAGAAAAAAATTCTCTTTTATGACAATTTTAGTGAATAATAACATAATCATTGTATAAATGAATCATCGAGATGTTTTTTTGAGATTTTTTTTTGTGAATCATGTTATTCATGATTCATCTAGTGATTCATTTGTTTTGTTCGTCATAAAAATATATAGAAAAAAAACCTTTTACCTTCCTACCACAAAAAATTTCTTACCGGATATATATATATATATATATATATATATATATATATATATATATATATATATATATATATATATAATCGACTACTTTCATAGGCCAAACAGAACTTATTATTTTAACACTGTCAAAATAAAGAGAACACATAAAATTAGTATGCTTATACCTACTCTTATTACACGAATAGGAAGTGATACTACAAATGATTCAATCAATGACACAATAATCACATGATATTGCATGAGACAGATGCATTATTTATGTATGATGGTATTTATTTCTTTCTTATACAACCATCAATGACTTAGGCTTATGGTGTACTATAAATGCATATATAAATATTGGAGTTTTCTATATTTTAAATTATTTTTATTATGGCTCTTATTAAAATAAACGAAAGACTCGTAATATATCTTTCTGTCAGAAGTTTCAAATTTTAATGCGAAGTCATATTTTATGAAAAATAAACATACAATATATGATTGCGCGGATGCAAAGTTGAAGAAGGTGGGGGCACATTTTAGTATGGTTCTTTTTTTTTTTAAGATTTTAATTTATCATTAAATTTATATGTGTATCTATTTTGTAGTTATATAATGTAATTCTTGTTTTTAAAGAATTTTATTTATCATTAAAAATTATATAAATTTTTGTTACCAATGTTAAATAACAATAAACATCGAATATGTGATGTGGTTTTAAGTTTAAAGCATGATGATACACGGCACTTTTGCCTAACTTCAAAACAGATTGGGTTTAATTAATTGTTACATTAAGTTCTCCCAACAAACATCTGGCCCGTTTTAGTATGGTTCTTTTCCACGAGCAATGTCTATGCGATCAAAATTTTGAAATTTTTTATTCGTATCATCAAACAAAAAAGTGTATTATCTATAATATTTACTAGAAAATAAAAATATCGGATTTTGTAAAAAAATGGAGTTTATATAGATATTAATAATATATTCAGATTTACGGATATTACTTAATAAAAAAATTATAATTATTATACATAAAAATAAAACAGTGTTATTGTGTTAATAATATATTGTTCTACCATTCTTTTATTCAAAAGTGAGGCAAATTTATATTTATATGATCAACTTTGATTTTTAATAATATAATATTACAAGCTAGACACAAAAGTGACCAAAACAGAAAGTATATATATTAACAAAATGATAATATTCTTACATACAAAGAATGTTTCGAAAAAGTTGGCTCCATGGATAAACTTCTTGCATCCTTATTTAAAAAAATATACACCTCTTATTTTGGGTATTTTCTGGTTATCCTTAATAATATCATATTTTATATGTTAATCACGATTAAAAAATCAACAAAAAAACTATTTTTACTTCCACTCTCAACATATTAAATATGTATTAAAAATACTATCCAGCTAATTTCCTAATTCATGCTATTTGACCAACTTTTACTTTGGTTGTTTGAAGTATTAGAATTTAGAAATGCAATGAATGAAGCTTCCCGACCACCCCATGAGCTCAAACAACCACTCTCTGCCAGCAGTAAACACCAGTAGCTACCACTCATCCTCATATTAACTTTCTTTGTCAGTACTTAAAAAACTCATTTATATCGTTTTCTATTTATGATAATGATAATATATCACTATTTTATTAATTAAAGTTACAGTAGAAGCATAGTTTTTTATATAGATATACAACGTAAAATTCCAAAACAGCATAATTGTATATTCATGTTATGTGTTGTCCCAATAAAACCACGTACTTTTAATTAAATAGGTGTACCATTTGATATGACCGGTTTAAAGAGTAAAATATCTACCAAACCGATAGACCCGGTTCATCTCAATTACAAGGTTATTTGCTTTTCCTTTTCTCCATTTTACTTCGTTTAAAAAAAAATAGCTAAAAGTAGAGTAACTTTTCGTTTCTTGGTATAACAAAAATAGTTCACAAGTAAAATCATGAAAAAAGGATAATCGAAATATTAACTAAATGATAAAGATTGAGTCATTCAAAAATATTATATTCATTAGACACCAAAAGGCAAAAGGCTATTTTCTGGCTTTTCAATTTTGTCCTACTTTATGACATATTAAACATTTCTTTAAAGATATAAAAACTAATCAAAACGTTTATTAAAGTTTATTATCTGAAATATTCTATGAATCTTACGAGTAGGAATGAATAATTATTTGTTGATCATTAAATGAGAAAACCAAGTATTCATATATATGATTAAAACTCAATACTAACAAGAAAAACATGTGTATTGTAATATTAGGTTCGAAAATTTTACATACGAAATTGGTTTTCTATGAAAAAATATGTATTAAACTTATTATAAAAAAACAAAAATGTATTTTTGGGAATTCTGTTGTCAAAAACTAGTGAAATCCTTAGAACATCTATGAATACTTCATATTTGTAAACATAATTATTATAAAAAAAAAAAAAAAAAAAAAACATAGATAAATACTATTATAAAGTTGCACAGAAACAAGACAAAGTATTTGTGTCACTAATAAATAATTAAATATATCATATGTATATTTCGTTTAATTTTTTTTAATGGATAGATGTATATATACCGGCTAACGAATCAAGAAGTGTGGATTTCCCCGAACCAGAAGGACCCATGATTGCCATGATCCGAGACGGCTGAGCAAAACCACTCAACCCATTCAGTATCCTCCTCGTCGGCTTGTTACTACTATTTGGAAGTACCACCGTCAGATCTTCCCATACCAAGCAAGTACCGCCGCCGCTGCCTCCACCATCACCGCCGCCACCGCCACCACCCTCCATTGACGATCCCACCACCTCTATCTCCATCACTCTCTTTATAGTACCATTATTTCTTGTTCAGAGTTGGTTTTTTGGTTGCATGGAGACTTTATATATATAGACAAAACCAGGGGCCGGGGGGGGGGGGGGGGGGGGGGGGGGGGGTAACACAATTAAATGGATGAGATTAGAGGAGATAAAACAACGGGCTTTATGGTCTGGGAAGATGTTATTACCCAAAATGAAACTGCAGGGTTATTTACCGCTCATTGCACCAAAGTAAGTTTTAATGCTACCATGAATAGAGTTCAGAAAGTTGGTAGTGTGTGTATGTGCGTGTTAAATGCTTCAAATACTAAGAAGTATTTGTAATCCACTTTCTTAGCGTGTATAAGTGCATATCTATTTGTGTGCATTGTTTAGGGACACTCAGATTTGTGTTCAAACTTTAAGGTGAAAGAGCAAATGACAAACATTGAAAGAGTAGATTACAATTTTGGTCCCTATGGTTTACACACATTTGCATTTGTAGTCTAAGTTTCGAATTTGCTACACAGTCCATCTTTGTGGTTTCCGAAAGTTGCACCGGTGGTCCCTAAGACTAACTCCGTCTAAAATGCACCGTTAAAAAATATTATATGTCCCTCACATGATAGTAAAATCATCTTTTCACCTATGTCTTCTCTCCTCTTAACATCTATTTTATAATTTAAAGACACCCTTTCTTCTTCCTCCTTAAACCAACTTTCTTCTTCTCTGTTTTACAAACCATTGTTGGGGTTGAAACACACTTTTATTCAGAACTAGAACAAAAGAGAAGAGCTTACACGCTCAATATTATAAGAAAAAGAAACAACCCTCTAATACTCACTCTAAGTATTACACACTACACTCTCTGTTTGTGGTGTCTTACAACTGAGGTTAGAGCCTCTATTTATACTTAAACAAGCCTACAATTACTACTGCTACCATTTATTGTGTTCATTATGTGAACATACGAAGTTGCCATTTGAGTTCTTATTGTCAACAAAGGAGGCATTCATTTGTCAACAAAAGAGGGTGGTACAGCTACTCATGGCAGGTTCACACCCAAGTAGGTTTACACTCACATTCTCCCCCTTAAACCTAACTTGGCTCGAGATTCGTCACTCCGATCATGTTTCGCATTTCACCATGTTTCACGTATGCTAAAGCCTTTGTAAAGATGTCCGCCCGTTGATCCTTCGAGTTGACATATTCCACTATAATTTGCCCACGTTCAACACATTCTCGTATGAAGTGATAACGAATGTCAATGTGTTTGCTTCGACCATGAAACACAGGATTTTTCATCAATGCGATTGCTGACTTGTTATCGACATATAAGGTGATAGGCATAATATGATGTCCCGTGAGCTCCTTCACGAGATTAGCAAGCCAAATGGCTTGACATGCTGCTGTTGTAGCTGCCATGAACTCGGCTTCACACGTGGACAAAGCAACAGTCTTTTGCTTTTGGGATTGCCAAGTTATCGCATTCCTTCCAAGATAGAAAATCATTCCACTTGTGCTCTTGCTATCAACAAGGTCACCTCCAAGATCACTATCGGTAAAACCAACCAAATCTTCAATTTCACGACCTCTTCCATAGTTGATTCCATAATCAACGGTTCCTTTTACGTATCGCAAGATGTGTTTCACAACTTGGAAATGCAAAGTGGTTGGTTCCTCCATGAAACGACTTGCAATTCCAACCGAAAATGACAGGTCTGGTCGAGTGTGAGTCAAGTACCTTAAACAACCTACCACTCGCCTATATTCAGTTGGATCAACTTTTTCACCATCTTCATCCTTCTTGACCTTCAACTTAGGTTCCATTGGTGACGTTGTCGGATTGCAATCCAGCAACCCAAATTGCTCTAAAATTTTCTTTGCATAAGCCGTTTGTCGCAAAGATATTCCCCACTTCTTTTGCGAAACTTCGATTCCAAGGTAGTAAGAAAGTAATCCCAAGTCACTCATTTCGAATTCTTTCTTCATTTGTTCTTTGAATTCGACAACATCATTAGTGTTCGACCCGGTAATGATCAAGTCATCAACATAGACACCAACAATAAGAATTTTGTCTTTTGAGTTCCTTTTGTAAACAGCTGGGTCTTGTGAACTTTTTGTAAAACCAAGCCTTTTTAAGCTTTTATCCAAACGAATGTTCCAAGCTCGAGGAGCTTGTCGTAGACCATAAAGAGCTTTATGAAGCTTGAACACCTTATGACTGTTTGCTCTATCAACATAACCTTCTGGTTGGGTGACATAAACCTCCTCTTTGAGATCTCCATTGAGAAAAGCCGATTTGACATCGAGATGGTGGACAACCCACCCATGTTGAGCTGCTAAGGCAAGAATGAGCCTTACGGTGTCAAGTCGTGCTACCGGTGCAAAAACTTCATCAAAGTCGACTCCTTCCTTTTGTACAAATCCTTTTGCTACAAGTCGAGCTTTATGCTTCACCACTTTTCCCAAGTTGTCTTTCTTCACTTTAAACACCCATTTCAAACCGATTGCTTTGTGTCCGGGTGGCAAATCGGTAAGTTGCCATGTCTTGTTCTTCTCGATTGCATCCAACTCTGTTTGCATAGCCTCTTGCCATGCCTTAGAGGTTACCGCCTCTTTAAAATTCAAGGGTTGATCCGCTGCAATCATCAACAATTCTCCGGGTTCAAGGAACACATTTTCGGTTTCAGAATAAATATCGGTTAACGGACGCAATCCCCTTGGCCCAATCTCACTAGAAGGGCTTTCCATATGGGGCGAGGTTGAAGAAAACGGGGCTGAGACAGGAGTATGTGGAGCTGGTTCAGGCTCGTCAAATTCAGCATATGGTTGTCCAACTTGGATAGCATCGATTCCTGGACTGTTTGGTTGTTCCAGATTGATTTCGGGGTCATTTTGAGGTGTTTCGAGGTGTATTTGGGGTTGTGGTTCAATTATGTTAAAGGTCTTAGGAGTCGCCATCTCTTCTTCTTTGTTTTTGTACCAATTCCATTCTTCTTTTTCGTCAAAAACAACATCGCGACTAACTCGCAACTTTCGGTCTTGCGGATCAAACAAACGGTTGCCTTTAGTTCCATCTTCCACACCTAAATACACCATCTTCTTACTTCGATCATCAAGCTTCTTCAGGTGACCACCTACAAGTTTAGCAAAAGCAACACAACCAAAAACTTTTAGATGTTCAAGGTTGGGCATTTTGCCAAACCACGTTTCATAAGGCGTCTTGTCGGGAAGTACTTTTGTTGGCAGGCGGTTGAGAAGATAAACTGCATGTCTAACCGCTTCTCCCCAAAACTCTCCCGGAACATTTCTACCTTTGAGCAACTTCTTGCCATGTCCATAACGGTCCGATTTCGCCTTTCTACAACTCCGTTCTGTTGAGGCGAATATGGTGTCGTAAGATGCCTTTGAATACCATTTTCTTCACAAAATAATGAGAATTCTTTTGAAGTGAACTCTCTCCCTCGGTCCGTTCGAAGTGTCTTTATTTTATAACCCGAATTCTTTTCAACCATCAACTTGAACCGTTTGAAAGCGCTCAAGGCTTGAGACTTCTCCGATAGCATGTAAACCCACATCCACCGGCTAAAATCGTCTACTAAAAGGAGAAAATATTTACTCCCTCCAACAGACGTAGGTGTGATCGGATCACATAAGTCCGCATGAACAAGTTGTAGAGGTTTTTGAGCTCGAAAAACTGCAAGATCCGGGAAAGGAATTCGGGTTTGTTTGGAAAGAACGCACCCTTCACATACTTGGTTTGGGTGCTCAATCTTTGGGACTCCGATTGCCATATTCTTTTCGGACAACTTCTTTAAGGCGAGAAAGTTAACATGACCGAGTCTAGAATGCCATATCCAAGCTGGTTCGTCTTTTGTTGCTAAAAGACAAGTCGGTCTACCGGTCCTTAAAGGAGTTTTATATAACCGGTTTGGGGATCGTTTAACTCTCAAAAGTAGAGTTTTGTTTATGTCAAACAATGTCAGATCCGACCCATCCATTATGACCCGACTCCCTTCCTCCGTCATTTGTCCAAGACTAATAATATTGTTTTTTAGACTTGGAATGAAATATACCTCATTAAGGAGTCTTTGGTCGCCATTTTTGCTATAGAATAAAATCGACCCTTTTCCCAAAATAGCGACGGTCGAACCATCCCCAAATTTCACATGGCCCGTAACGTGCTCATCTAGTTCCCGAAACTTTGAGCGGTCTCCAGTCATATGATTGCTAGCACCGTTGTCGAGATACCATACCTCAGACTCGACTCGACTTTCTCCCGATGCAAGAAGATTAACACAAATCTTCTCTCTTAGAGACACTTTTTTGTGTGCATATTCTTGTGAGGTTGCCATCGTTAAAATAGACTCTTCTTCGTTGGCTTGAGTGAGGTTTGCCTCCTCACCTCGATTCTTGTTTGGACACTCCGAAGCATAATGACAAAATTGTTCACAAGTAAAGCATTTGATTTTACTTTTATCCTTTCGAGAAGGATTATGGTCATTCCGATTTGTATTGTACTCGCGACCACCTCCTTGGCTACGTCCACGACCTCGGCCTCGTCCCCGGCCTCGGTTACCATGTCCTCCTCGTCCTCTTGAAGTGTTTGACGAGTTTCTCTCGCCAGTTTGCTTCGAATGAGATGCCCACTCGGCATGTGTAAGCAATAGAGAAGGTCCTTCTTCTTTTTCTCCATAGCTTCGAAGTCTCTCTTCATGGGTCTTAAGACGACCCACAACTTCTTCCACCGTCATATTCTTCAAATCTCCGAATTGCTCGATCGATGTTACGATTTGTATAAATCATATCGGTACGGCTCGCAAAAACTTATTCACAACCGTAATTTCTTCAATCTTTTCACCTAGAGATCGAATACCGGTTACGATAGTATTCAATCTCATGGAAAAATCATCTACCGATTCACTGTCTTTCATCCGGATCACCTCAAAGTCACTTCTCAAGGTTTGAGCTTTAGCCTCCTTGACCCGATCGGCTCCCATGTGCATCATCTTGAGCGTTTCCCATGCTTCTTTAGCTGTGTCCTTCTCAGCTAACATCAGAAGTACGTCCTCTGGAATTGCTTGATAAATAGCCGCAAG